CTTGATTTCGAAATATAATATTTAACATTCGAATCGGAAAAAGATCTGATTACTTCATATACGACTTTCCTTGAAAAGCTACTCTTAAGCTTTAAGATACCATGTAAATCGCGATTATGGTCGTGAACATGAGTGCTTTTTGCTGTTGAGCGATCAAAAATGTTAATCACGCAGAACACTAATAGACGAACAATGTCTAGGTATAGTTCCTCGAAAAAAAAGCAGTATATTACAAAGATAATTAATTAACTTTTGTAGATAATCAATCACTCTATCAAATAAGAATCGTTCATCTTAAGTCTTCGCGTGTTATTTACACTCTGAATTTCTTTCAAGATGTATCTATGATTAGCTTAACTTTGATTGTTGTTTATATGATTAATAATTAACCATTATTTACTTTATAATAAGAATCTATAACAAGTTTCGAAAAAGTTTCTTATGTATGTCAACACGAGATATAGAAAGTACTGTATTATCAACAACGTGCTACTATCAATACATATCGTTATAGACATTTATTTGTTGCATAATGCATGTTTTATTTCTTAGCAACACCACGACTGTTGATGAAATTAAGTGTTCTTCATTATGTTGTCTTACTTTCTAGTCAAACCAATTTTGTTACATATTCATATGGAAACTCTACCTCAGTTAAAATTCAAGGGAAGTATTAGCATAAAATTGATAATGAACGGTAATATTTCTCATCATATAAGTTAGATTAATAATGTTCGAAGCAAAATTTGTGGAATACTCAAAAATAGAATTGAACAAAAAGCATCAAACATTATCAAGATCAAACAAAGCATATATCACAAAAAACTCTTGGTATAAAATAGTTTAGATAATGCAGATGTAAAAAACTTTGGGTGTGAATCAAAATTGCATAAATATATACGAGTGTGAACATATTGTGTTTATGTCTTATACGTCCGTCACTTACATTCATTCAGTAGTATAAGGGTGAATTAGTCCAAAGTTGTAAATATTTTATGATAAAACATAGACTTACTCAAGATTAATATATAATCTTTAGTTCATCTGGTCTATGCAAACATTGTTATAGTGAGTATATATGTTCGAATCCTGTGTGTTCTTAAAAACAAATCACCGATAGACATCATACTGAAAATAAAACTTTATTGGAAAGTGAAAAAAATTTCGAATCATCGGAATATAGATGGCCAAAGTCTCTGTAAACTTTACATATCGAGACAGAGTTCCGAATTTAACCTCAATGTGTCACTGTTCAATAGGTTGAGGAATCGACAATGAATGCACTATTTGTCATTCTCTCAATGTATCGAATTTTTAAAAAATACATTTCTAAATAAAAGTTTCTCTTTGTAAAAGCTTCTTTTTTCGATATAAACCTTTATGCATTAAATATTTCTAATAAAATTGATCGATGAACAACATGAATATTGATATAAATCATGTTAGTATAGAAATTTATTTTATTTAAAATAACTAACGGAATTATTTTTTCCATCGCGAGAATGAATTTAATAAAACAAAAAAAAATATTTCTCTGAAAAAACGTCCTTTCGTTAATTTGAGAGGCACTATACAAGTGCAACTATTGTTGATCTTGTTGAGGTGCTTCATTTTTACATACTGCAATAGCCAGAATTGCCGCAATTACAATAATCACTGGTACAGCAACAAGTGTACATCTGTTGACCAGTAGTAGGGTCAATTATCCATTTACATCCAGTCCAGTTACATAGACCAGGTTCAGCAGGACCTCGACTATTCGGAGCACTTGGATCAGATGAATAACTTTTTCTCTATACATGAAAATGAATTAAATAAATTGTTAATAAGGTTTATTTGTTCTTATATTAATCGATGAATTTTCATATACTTACAGCACAAAATCCTGTAGTTCCTCTAACTATTGTAACAGATGTTAACTTTGCATTGAATGGATAAGGACAATTCGAACAAAAATAGCACATAACGTCACCATTAGCATAACCTATAGAAAATATAGTCGATTCGATTAAGTAAAGAAAAATAATTTTTCTCACCAATGAAGACGACTAACAATGCTAGCAATATAATCAGATTATTCATCTTGTTAGTGGATTTCAAAGATCGACTTTAGTATCACCTAAACTGATTTGTGATTGAAAGGGATGCAAGTAGTGAGATAAAATATTTTTATTCGTATTTATATAATAAATATAGAAATATTGACTCATAGCAAATAAATCAGTTAGAATTAGGGTATTTGTCATTAGATTTTTATTTGTACATATTAAAAATAACAAAGCTTCCAATTGATAGTGAGAGAATATACAGATGCGTTGTATACGATAAAAAAAATAAATGCATTTAAGATTGTTAAATGAAGAAAAATCTTGGCTGTGATGTTATATTATTCATTTTAAATAAAAAAAAAGGAAAAAGAATTTCATTCTTGTTTATAGGGAATATTTAATTTTGATAAAGTTATGTAAAGTATTGTAGTTTATTTTATCAGTGAGACAACACCTTTATTGGATTGGACGATATTCGATCAAGGTTAATTGAAATTTGATTGATAACAACATATGCATTTTTCCTCGCAATGAATGACGTTATCTGATCAAATAGAAATTTACAACGACATACATTTCACTTTTCTTTCATATTTACTTCGTTACAGGAGATAACGCATTTTTTTTCATATACGACAGCCCGTTAAGTAGAAACTTTTCAAAAAAAAAATTTGTTTTTTAAATATGTAAAAATTGGTTGTTGTTAGTTCGAAATGATATTTTTCAAAATTTATATGACTTATTATTGAAAAATCTTTGGAAACAACGAGAGAGAAGCATAAACATATTGAAATACCCAAAATAAAATGAAAAAATTCACAAGACGAAAATAAACGAAACTTTGTTTACAATTGAAATTTTCCATGAAAAATAAAACGATTTTGTCGAACTTTGGTTTTCAATGTTATTTGTATCTGATGAATTGATTGACTGAGACTGAATGATATTTGGACAGAACGCGACAATCGAAAATGTTCCTGTGACAAGATCAGTAAATGTTATTACAATCAATATTTATATGACATCAGATCTAAGAATAGCTGTTAATTAAAATTGGTCATTTCTAGCACTCTATCATTTTGTTCAGATACATTAACAGATCGATAGAAACTACTTTGGTGTACAAACTTCTAAAAGTGTTCATATCCTTAACCTTGTCAAATTGTAACTGTTTGTTGTGTTCATCATCACTGGAATTGTCTGATAGTATTTCTTTGATATTGAAGTTTCTAAATGGACGCATATGCGGATGAAAATAGTTACATCTTATCGGTGAAAAAATCAGTTGTTCCATATCATCTTGAATAATCTGTGAATGAAGCAGAGTCACATATTTTTTTGTTAAAAAATTCGCTCAATATTACTGCAATGTTAGATGAGATAAATTTAGATGAAAGATTGCGAAAAGAATGATTTGTTAAATTTCAACAAAATGTGTCGAAAATCATAGGATCAGGATGTGGATATGGATGTAACAGCACTTCCCACACTCACATCCGCACTCTTTTTCAAAGACGAAAACTTCATATTGAGTATTCATCTTTTATTCAAATGAACATTTTCTTTGTCTTTGAGGTTTTTTTTTTATCATAGGAAGAATAAATTCTGGAGTTTAATATAAACTATAAATAAAGACTCATTCGTCACACGAATCTTCTATGATTATTATACGAAAACAGTCGAGTCTGAAACACTCTCAAAATTCTATAATACAGTCAAAATATTTAATAATCTCGATTATAAGTACTAATAACAACAACAAAATGATCATCAGTATTTATTTTATTCGTTGTTTTAAGAATAGTACGAAAGAACGATGAAAACAATATTTGTACTCACATCTACCTTGAAATGTTGACATTGGAAAAAAAGGACAGAAAGGAAAAAAATGGTTCGTATTAACACTGAATAAAACTTAAACGATGAAATATTGTGCTTTGAAAGAATTTTTTTGTTGTGTCAATAACAAAAAAAGAAAAAAACAGAATATACAAATAAAACAGAGTGAAAACATCACAAGCAGGTTGATAAAAGTTATTTTATTTCAAGATAGATTTACAGTTAAATAATGATCTTTACGAACAACTCTAAATGAACTTTTCTGGTTTATGCAGCAATTGTTTCATCTATTCTTCTCAAATCATACACGTGCATGACATAGTTCCTCTAAAAATATCTCAAAAGTAATGGATGTGGCAAGTTGAATAGACGCATTTTGTATTTGAATTTCTTCCACTTAATATATTCTATTTAAAAAAAAAACAAAATATACAAGTACAGGTTGCAGCGTGAAAATCTCTAGAATTTTCATTAGACCGATTTTTTTTTATAGTTGTACTTTTTGCTTTCAAAATGGTAAAAATCTTGAGCGATGAAATTTTAACCGTGCGAGAACGATATTTGTTTTTTGATACGCGATGAATTTTTTTTTTTTTTATTTGATCATTTTAGAATTGTTCTGTGTAAATTGTAGAGCTTTTCACGCTGCATCTTTTGGTAGATTTTATTTTTTTGAATACACTATAACAAGTGAATGAAAATTGACATATAAAATGCAGTCATTCGATCTGTCTCACTCATGAGATAAATCCTACTTTCATAATCGCCTATCAACATCGAAACGATCATTGTAAGTAGGTTGAAATGTTGACTTCTAAGCAATAGTCGAAAGGCATTGTATGATGGTTTAAATCTTTGTACTATAAATTCCTTCTGATTCTCAATGATATTTATTTAATATATTTCAACAAATTCTCAACAAAATGAGGCATCACATTTTTTGTTTTTGTTATAAATATGCGATTTATTCTTGTATTGTTAAATAATAAAGTATCGTGCATCATATATTTACGATCTTCAATCTCTTCTGATGGTATTCCACCTATATAACACTTGTCGTTAATGATCTGTGAATTGGGTTTCTTTACAATATGAAAACATCGTGAGGATGGTGTCGATAAATAACATTGACAATGAATGTAGAAAAATGAATTGTTATATGGATCGCCTGGACCAATACGAGTATAAGCTAAATTAAATGGTGAATGACCAATAAAATAAGATTACAAAAGATGAGCATGACTAAACAAAATAAATATATGAAAAATAATAAGAAAGAAATAATTATATAAGATCAATATTTGATGTAAATATGTTGGGCAAGACTATCTGTTTTACAAAGAGTTCAACCACAGAAATGAGTATCATTGAATGCACCAGTCTGACAATAACAAACAAAAAATAATTAAAAAAAAATAAAAGGAGAATTAAAATATTTAATAACTTACACTACACGGTATCATTACTATATAATATTTGACATTCACATAACGAAATCCAAATCGAAATGTATCTTTATCTCCGCCGGAGACATGCTAAAACATATTAAATATAAATCTATTGTTATTCTGATGAATATTAAATGATTACTTTATAAAATAGTTCATGATTATCATTCATTAATTTAGTTATATAAAGTCCTTTCCATACACGTTTTTTATCAACTAATATTGCTGCACTATCTAATTCATATTCATGTTCACCACAACTTGTATTAAACAATTTCCATAGACTTGGATGTTATCGGCTTTTGAAGGCATCAGGATAGAAAAGAGCACCAAATTTCAGATACATTGGATCAGAAACAAACAGATTTTCTGGATCTCGTACAATATATGAATCAGAATCGAGAAAAAGTACTTCAGCAAAAAGTGGCACTAAGTATTGCTGCTGGTTTATAATATTTACCTGAACATTTAATCGAGTACCACTAAATTCCATCATCTTTAAATTGACTTTTGTAAACTTCAATTGATTTGATCCAGTCGTGAGAACAATACCTCGACCATGAAAATATTCATTTGGATAGGAAACAAGTTGTTCACGGAGTGCAATAAGTAATTTAGATATAGCAAGGAAAGTTTTTCTTTGTGCTTCACTTAGGCATTGTGTTTTATTACATTCACTCGATATATTATCATACATCCGAGAATAAGGGTGTGGGTGTGAGTGTGGTTACTTGTCTATAAGACACGTACACCCCACACTCGTGCCCCATACCCACACCCACACACCCGCATTCTGGAAAAAACTCATGTTTACTGTGAACAGAGGCGCATAAGAACGACTTTTGACTCATCCTCGGTTTTCATGAATTCAGATTTTACTATGGTATTAAAGAAACTGTTTAGGTACGAATCAGTTTGCCTAAAACATAGAGGCATGCTGTACATCGAAATGTGGAATGACGGCTAATGCTTTGTTCACTTGATCGACTAAAGGAAATCTTTGTCGACTCACTTTGCCTAATCCCTTTTTAATACCTGATATTTGACTCATTGATTGATTGAAAAATTCAGGGTATGAATGTGGATGTGGACGTGAGAGAATAGAAGACCCACACCTCCACCCTCACACAGTCATCCACATTCATACACCCACTCACACTCATATCCTCGCTTACTAATACAGAAAGAAATAGAAGCTCTTACTTTTTCTCGTCGCTGCCGATGCTTTTGTGAGTAACAGGCATCATTCATTTCTAACCGTTTCTTTTTTCGTGCCGATGAATAATTCTTTTCTTCGTACCGGTGTTCGCGTCAGAAGTGCACTTGTAGGTTTCATTAAATGTGGCCAAAAATCATCAATCTGAAGAAAGAGAAAAATCACAAAGGTGCAGCTCAAAAAACAAGCAATAACTATTTCCATTCATGAAATATAAAGTAACCGAAATATTATCGATGTGGCAGATTGGCGTTGTCAAAGACTACTATTTGTTCTTGGAGTTCGATATTCGTAGGCAGAACGTCGGCTTTAAATATGAATTCTATTCATTTTTAAAACTTACAGCTTCAGATGATTCAACGGAACATGTTTATTTTTCATGTATTTATTCCTTCCAACAATTCAACATAACTCGTTTCACCCAATAGGTTAATGGATAAGTTGTCTCACTTCTATTTTAAATACGCTGCGGATAGAATTCAAATGTCCTTTTTTACTAGCAACTTTGGGTATGACAATAAATTTGATTATTAGCCAACGAGTTCTAGAGGTCGTTTTTAAATGTTCACGCTATGGTGCCTTTTCTTGATCGCATTAAGGATTTGTCGGATTCACACGAACAAAAATCATAAGTTTAGTTCTGGGTTCGGTGCCAACACTTCATAAATATTGTAAAAAGCTAAAACTTCCCGTCGATATAGTGAGTAGAAGTTGAGCCAACCGTTTGTTGCATTGGCGCACAGTGATCTTTCAGTCGTATTATAGTTGTATTGATCTGATAACTGGTCAAGTATATAAGAAAAAATCGGTACAATGAGTGCACTGGAAAATCTATATGCTCATGTGAACCTGATTTTTCTAAATCGAACTCCGACTTTTATGAAATTTATGTGGCTCTTCTGTGAAGATCGAATAGTGCGTCAGGAAACTTTGTGATCGCTTCCGTCAATCGCTAGTAGGATCGCTCAAGGATTCTTCCATAAAGTACATAGCCGTTCTATAAGAATGAGGATGTGGATGAAGATGTGGGCATGAGTGTGGGTGGAGTGTGGGTCAGTATTGAATGCCAACGCATACTCCATACCATACCCACCCATACCCACCCACACTCTCTATTAAACACTGAGTATGTTTCATTCTGCATTGTGAAATGCCACGATTCTCTAGTTTTATAACCATCTCTGTCATTCATTTATATTTATTTCTTTAGCAATTCTTTTAGAAAAAAATGAGCAAGTATTATGTGAAATGCCATATTTGCGGTTGCATTTTCTACAGTAGCAAGCAACTGAGTCAACATTTACAGTCGTGTACATCTACTTTAAATAAGTAAGTATGTTTTTAGTAGAATGCTTTTTGTTAAATGTGAGATTGTTGAAAAATTTCCAATGAACAACATTTTGTCGAGGAAATATTCCATTGAAATTGCTTTTTGTCGAAACAAACGGCACAACTGCAGCATGGATGTTCTGAAATCTTCACCCATTTCCAGATTCTATATCTTTGGAATAATGCGAAATTGAAATTTTTGCTGAAACAAAATTTTGTATTTCGTCCTTTTGAGTGTGGCGCTACATATTGTCTACATAGGTAGGCTTGACAAAGAAGAAGAACGAAAGAAACAGAAGCAACAGTAATGAAGTCTGCTCGACAAAATGTTATTTGACTATGTGTCTTTGGACAAAAACCATGGGATTCATTTTAACGGTACCAAATTCTGGGCACTGCATTGGCTGAAGTTACCACACGTCGAAAGCAAAATACCGAAAAATAGAAAATCCTGTAGATTCTAGACAGAAATTTTTTTGTAGATCTTTGACGAACAGAATGTAACATGCCACATATGCATATTGCACAAAAGTGATGGGTAGGGCAAGATCTATAGCTAAACGGGAGTTGGATTTTAACATTCTGCTTTTAACATTGTACTTTTCGACCCTTGTCACTTTTAAGATCTAGGGATGGATGCATACCTCTTATGGCTGCTCCATTGTCATGCTTCCAAAAGGCTAACGGCTTTGCATTGGTTCCTCCACTGAGTCCAATGTTTGCTCAAGTCATATCGGTAGAAGATCTTCGTGTCCACAATAACTTCAGACTACCCGAGGTTTATAGTGAAATGGAATCATCAGAGCAAGTGGTCGAATTCTTTCCAGTTATTCGTAAAGGCCCAAACTATCTGAAGTACTGCACCGGCTGGTTGTCCGAAGATGAGAAACCAAGAAGCATTGGCCATTGCTTTCGGCGGTACACACAGGAAAGAGGTTGGTTTTGCACGAAAATCAATATGGCACTAGCTAGCGATTCACCGATATTGAAAGAGTACAGTCAGTACATCAAGCAATTGAAATACTGTATTGGTATCTCGAAAATGAGCTTTAATGGCATCGTTTTCAGAGGTCAGCCTTACTGAACTGAACTATTTCGTTTCAATAAAGCCTTTCACACTTTCTAAATAGGTCAAGACATGACAAGAGCTGAAATTAACGAGTATGAAAAGAAAAAAACTTTTTTCATTCCAAGTTTCACGTCTACATCGAAATTGGAAGCCAAGGCTTTTGATAAAAATGTCCTGATTCACATTGAAATTCCACGTGAATGGTCGAAGTTTTGTGCAGAAATCACAGATGAATTCACGAAATTTGACGAAGAAGAAATATTACTCTCCTGTTATAATTTGTATGAACACGTTCGAACCGAACGATCCAACGCAAAACGAATTCTCAAACTACGACTACTTAACTATGAAGCCCATTTTGACTATAACACAAACACAATTTTCCATTAATTGCAAGTCCATTGAAAACCGACTGACCTATCTCTTAAAGAGAAGACAAATTAAATCTGCTAATCCGAAATTTTGCTATTCAACAATCGATTTCTTCTCGAAATAATTGAAATAATAATTGATATGCTAAATAAGATAATCAATAGAGAGAAATGCAGAGTTAATTTCACCGACGCGTTTCGTATGTTTTACAAGAATGTGGGTAGGGATGCACCGGTCCCTTTTTTGTATTTCTGTGTCTGTCCTCTGCGATAGATCTTAGGAACTCGAGCACTTAATTTTCTGATAAGAAGTGATCTCTTGTCCTAATTAATTTTGGCAAATAGTCATCCGAACTTCGGAGTGAAGCAGAGAATAAAGCCGGTAAGGTCATAAAAAGTCCTAATGGAGACCGGCGTATTAAACCCCCTCCCATAATAGAAGCCCATGCCATATTAGAAGCCCCCCCGTATTAGAAGCCCCCTCTGGAGGATTCGATATGCCAGACATATTAGAAGCCCCCTTATTTTAAAAACTTTTTGAGAGTTTTTTGAAAACATTTTTTAGTATTTTCACAGCAAAACTTAGAAAATTACAAAATTTTAAGGTAAAAATGCGTTAAATTCTTAGTTAACCGTATTAAAATCTCAAAAACTCCTTCAAAACCCTCAAAAATGTGTAAAAAACCCTGAAAATCCTATTAAGGCTTTTGAAAAACTTTAGTACCTAAAACCTTCGAAAAATCATAGGACATAATAGAAGCCCCTCCAAAAAATTTTTATGCTGGATACTTTAGAAGCCCAGGGGGGCTTCTAATATGAGGGGGGGTTTAGTACCGCTGGATGCATTGAGTCTTATATTGTTTGAGTAATGACGGAAACCGGTCATTATCGTAGGTTTTCGTAGTTCTAAATGGACAGCATTGATAATAACTAGGAATACAACGCTGGAGACCATTCACTGGTTAACCGTCATCGTTTCACTGGTTCAAACCAATAACTATACCTACGGTTACCGGTACAACTACAATCATTGTACCTACGTTTTTCGATCCAACCACGATAACCGCACCTATGATTACTGGTCCAACTAAGATCACTGTACCTACAGTTACCGATCTAGCTACCATCACCGTGAGTACGATTATGAATCCAACTACGATAGCCATAGCTATACTTATCCGTCTAACTGCTATCACCGAAGTTACAGTTACCCGCCTAGCTACGATTACTGTAGGTGCAGCTATCGGCCCAACTACGACAACCGTATTGATGGTTACCAGCGAGATTATATAACCATGCCTACGATCACCGGTCTAACTATGATAAGCATGCCTACGGATACCGGTCTAAATAGGATAACTGTATCCACCGTTAGTGGCCAAACTACGAGTATCATAGGTATGGCTGTTGGTTCGACTGCGATAACCGCACCTACAGTTACCGGTTCAACTACCATCACCTTAGGCACAGTTATCAAGTCAAACCGGTTGTCACAAAAAACAGCAATTTTAAGAAAGTAATGATTTTTATAAAAGTTGACGGAGTAAACCGAGGCTGGAGAGTCTGGATTCGAGGGGAGACTTTGAAAATTTTGAACTGAAATCCTTAGATTAAGGAAATGTTTATTATGAAAGTAACTATTTCCTTGATAGGCTGACGAAAGGAAATGCAACTTGACGCATTCGACTCTAATACTTAGGAAAACTATAACA